CCTCCTTTGTATGTAGCAGTTCTTCGGCATTCCTTACTGAGAATGGATGTCTTGAAAAGGTCCATTTGGTATTAGGGCTGGTGGCAACTTCAAAGTTGTAAGTGTCTGAAAGAGCAACAGTGCTTTTGTTGGTGGTCAAGGTAACAGCACCACTGCACGTTAAAGTAACTGTGGTTTATTTTACTGAAATACACAGCCTCGTCTGTGTAGGTGGGGGCACTGGGATGAGGATGAGCACAAAAGGTTTTGACAGCAGACAAGTGATTGCAAGGGCTCAGCGTTTGCTTCCAAGAGTTTGTCTTAGCGTGAGTATACTTTCTTTCTCCACCCCTTAAAACGTTCAGTGATACACTCATATTCACTCGTGTATTTATAAATGAATGAATTTTCCTCAGTGGTTTCTACACTGAAGTCAATATAAGAAATTATTGTGCTTGACATCTATGTACTGTACTGCCATACTATGGTCAATTTTTTATTTTCCTTTCCTGGAATGTGCTCAAAGTAATAAACAGAGTGGCTTCCCAGTATTTGTTAGCATTTCCTGCAAAGCAGATGTACACAGAAGCTCCAGCATTCAGTCAGGACTGTTGGTGTTGCCTTTGCTGCTGCTCAGTTTTCTGATGTTAGTACTCATACTTCCTTGCTCTACATATCTATGCGTGCTGCTTCTTTGCTGTGGGAGCATGGACACCACGCAAGTAAGCCCATGGCCTTTAGGTGCCCCACATTATTTGTAATGGGAATTGAGCTGGGTGAACCTGACAAAAAAACTGAGCAAATGTTCTCTCTTTCTCTTTATTTAAGCAGCTTTAGAAATCCATACAAGTTTGTGGTCCAATTTTTCATCAGTTTGTGGGATGGAGTGTGAGGACAGCACTGCAAGGATTCCAGCAGAGAGGTGGGAGTGCCTTTCCTCAGGATCTGGCTGCACCATCAGGACCCTGCAGAAAGAAAGGAAGGAAAAAAAGAAGAAAATACGTGAATGTTAGTGTCAGGTACTCCTTCTTTATAAAATTATTTTGATTCTGTTTTATTTAAGGAATAACATTATACAGAGACTGCAGTAATGCAAGAAAGTTAGCAAAATAGGTGTTCTGAGTTGGAATCACATTAAAGATGAATGTGTAGTCTTAGCATCTGCTCCTCCTTTGTGGGATATCTGCACTTTTAATTTTTAAGCATGTCTTAGCCTCAACCTGGGAAAAGAGATACTATAACAAGGGAATATACATTATTAACCTTAGAGCTTCCAGCTTAGGCCTCTCCTTCATCTTCTGACCTCCAAGTCTCTCAACATGCAGGTGAGCACCCACCACTCAGTCTGCAAAGTCCTGGTTTGGGCTGACTCCTGTTTTAATACAGCAGATAGATGCAGTCACTTATTTTGATAGCTTGTAATTAACATAAAACACTTATACCAACTAATCAGAGATCACTGGTGTCTGCAATGTAATCTCAAGGAAGATACAGTTTCTAGTTCTTATCTTGGAAAAGTGGCCATGATGCGTATGCAAGTGCCATAGGACAAAGTCCCTGACTCACACTCTAAATTATTGATGGTACTCTGTTCAGGTGAGAACATAGCCTCCTACCTGGCTGCACAGTGTGACGAAGGACCATAAACAAGTTCAAAGCACCTTTTGAATGGTTTAGCTGGAATAATTGTTATCAGCTGACTTTAACAGCATTCAAGATGGATACCCAGGTAACTTTAACTATTAGTGGCTGTAGCAATAGATGTATTAGCAGCTAGAGGTGTACTTCCAATTTCTATTAACTGCATTAGCAAGTATTTGAGTAGCGCATTTCCATAGGTGAGGTGGTGGTAGAATGACTTTGAAATAATATTTTTATAAAGCACACAGCTGATATAATTCAATCAAAAAATATCTAGGCTCACTTAAAAAACTCTGCGGTGCAAAACTGCATTTGTCTTGGACAATGCACCTTCAGCGTGTAGCCTGTGTATTCATAAATGTGCATTTTCCCTCTCTGCTGAGTAATTTAGTTTGGTGGACTTTGACAAGGAAATTTCTTGGAAAGTGCGACTGAGTGACATCTCACTTGCATGCTAATGAGGCCTTGACAGAGGTGGTGACAGATGGAACTCCGGGTTCAAACCACTTGTTTTTTTTTTCCAGCAGGATGCTAACAGTCAAAGGTTCCTAACAGCTCTTGCAATGACAATGCACGCTTCTAGGTTTCTGCTTATGGCTTTCTCTTGCCATGGATTGTAGCAAAACTTCCATGGAAAGCTCTGTAAGACCTCTGTAGATATCTTGCATGATTAACACTGACTGTTTTCTTAAATAGTCCGTTCTAGTCTTTCTGAATGCTTTGAAGGTTCCGAAGCTGGCCTGTTCCAATGGTGGTCACAGACTTGATCTCCATCAAACCTCATCACAGAACCTGGTGGTGGTTTTATAGGACAGACCTACATGTAGCCTGGATGTTCTCTATCTAGAGCTTGTAGATGAATGAATAGCACTGAGAATTTCTTGTGATCTACCTGGCAAGCATTCCACTTACAGAATGACAGAATCACAGAATGGTTTGGGTTGGAAGGGACCCTGGCAGTCTGGGTTGGAAGGGCTGAGCAACTGGCACTGCGAGCACCAAATGACAGAGCCCAATGCTGAAGCCAAGGAGAAGTAAGCAAATTATTCCCAAATAAAAGGGAACAGAGGCAGAGCGTAACGGAGCATTAAGCTGCATGTTCTGAGTCAGAGAGAGAAATACAGTAACCAAAGGCAAGACAGAGGATTTAATTTTTAATCAGCTGTAATTAATTCCTTCCACATCTTACGTCTGGTGAGAACACAGAGCAAAAGGAAGTAATATCAATTTGGCTTTGATGTGTTATAGTACCATTCAGAGGATGGTACCATTTAGAGAGGAGGTGATGGGGATGTCCCACAGCTGTGGTATCATCCTGCTCAATCTATTGGAGCTTTACTTAGAGCAACACTGGAAGCTTCTTACTTTGCATGGGACTGTCAGTGTGCCTACTGTATAGTGCATGGTCTGGTTAAATGAGGAACAGCTTTTAATAGCTGGAGGCTTTTGCAGCTGATGCAAGAATTTTCCTTTCCACCATTGTACACTTTGCCAGATATTTGACATAAACTGCAGTTATCAGACAAAAAAACACGCTCAGAAGAAAAATCATTTGCCCGTGTCAGACAGCCCCGTGCCTCTTTGTTGGCCCTGCTGGTGTTAAACCTGCTTGCTCTCTATTCATCCTCCCAAACACACAGCCAAGACCTGCATTTCTTATTCCGAAACGCTCAGAGCAGAATATCCTGCTTCTTTTTCCTCATTTGTCCTTCTGAAGGTCAGCTTTAAAGACTGTGAAATCAGTGCAGTAATCCCAGTATACCCAAGAGTGGTTCCTTGGGTGATGCACTCCACGTGCCCCCATTGCATATCTCTCCAACTTGTGAGCCCTGGTGCTGTGACACAGCTCCAGTCTCCCCAAGCCCTGCTGCCATGTCACATGCAACTTATTCCTGGAGCAGCTCCTTAATGGGCTGCAAACCGCCTGGGACACAAACAACATCTTCCTATCTGATAAGCTTTTATCTTTGGGTTTGCAGCTTGCTGTGAGGTGTGGAGGAATTTCTCCTGTTTAGAACCAAGCTTTCCTCATGTTCTCTGCTCGGAGCTCTTTGGGGACTGTGCTCCAGGCTGGGGGGAGGGGATGTGGCCACCTGCCGTGGAAATGGAGATTTTACAAACAGAATGAAAGGCGAGACAAAGGCGACATTATCTGCCATGCGAGCTGTTGGGGACCGAACAGCAACTTGCATATGGTTCGAGTTTGGCACAGCCTTTATTTTTATCCTCAGACAGGACTCCCTATCTGGTTATTTACTGTATTAATGACAGGAGACAGAATTACAGCAAGTGGGCTGAGTGCATTCATTACTGTGATAATTGTTGCTCCATATGAAGCTGGGACAGCCAGGCACTGTACAGAGCCCTGAGTCTGAGCACATGAGAGCAGATCTTGTTTTCAAGACAGCCAGGAACATGGACTTTAATAGTAGCACCTGATTCCAACAAATTTGTAAACCCAATAATTTCATACGGTTTTTTAAGATGCAGTATAATAAAATAAAAAAGCATTTGCTGATGCATTGGTCTCCCATTTGTTAGCCTGCAATTACCATCTAACTTGTGAAAACACAAAGTCATGCGATTCAAGGAGAATTTATTTTTTAAAATTCAAGTATTAAACACAAAAATCTGCTTGTAGCAACCCAAGTTCTGTATATTCTGCATATGCTATATATAGGAGAATGGGAAATGGCTTCAAACTAATAGAGGGGAAATTAGGTTGGATATAAAGAAGTATTTACACTGAGGGCAGTGAGGCACAGCGCAGGGTGCCCAGAGAGGTGGGTGGTGCCCCATCCCTGCAGACATCCAGGGGATGGGGCTGTGAGCACTGCTGGAGCTGTGGGTGTCCCTGTGCACTGCAGGCAGTGGGACCAGGTGGCTTTTGGGGGCTCATTCTGAGTCAAACCATTCTATGATTCTTTTTTTCTCTTCTCTGTTTAGCACAAATAATTCCATGCACAGTATATTACTTTTTTTTTTTTTTAATGTATATTGCACTTTCTTCTTAAACGTTGCTAACTTATTAAAACAAAACATTTCTTCTTTTCTATGGGATGGAAAATGAATAGATTTTACACCAGCTGCAGCATGGCAGTCATTTTGTAAAGGAGCACAGCTGAGATGGTATTACTGTTTTGTTGCTGCTTTAAAACTTTCCTCTCCATGTAGTACACCTTAGTACTTAGTACACTTGTTTTAGCAGGTCTTCCTTGGTGCAGATGATTACATTTCCCTGTGTCAGCCTTTTAATTATAGGATCTACAGCTGAGTTGCTTCTCTCTCTATCACCTACTGCTGTAGCAGTGCGTAATGCAGTTAGAGAATAATTTGCTGTTTCAGAAGGTGGAGGCTGATTTTTTTCCTTTTCTGCTTAGCTTGTTTTAGGCCATGTCTTATGACAATATGGAGGAAGTGAGGGTAAGTTCAGAGCTCTTTGTAAGTTTTTATGCCAATGTGTGTTCCAGCTAAGTTAGGAAGGACTGTTCTGTCAGCAGGCTTAGGTGCCTGGTTGGCACTGTGTGGGGAATAATGATTTTCCTTCCTGCTTGAAGGAAGAGAAGGAGAACTATATCTGGGGTTATTTGGGGTGAGTGGCATGGTTAAGGAGGAGGGAAGGGGCTAACTGTCACCTACTCAAAGAGGAAGAGCAGATGCTGTTCTTGTGTTCAGTGGAGGAGAGGGCCTGGAGAGGTGGTGGGGATGTCCTGCTTTGTACCCAGCAAAAGTAACTTAGATATCTATGTTTCTCTACTTCTTGCTTCTCTTCTGCCTCTATTCTGGTCACAAGCGAACAGCAGTGCTGTTACTTGCTCTCACATGTTCTCACAGCGTGTCCTATCAGCAAAATGTCTTCGTGCTTGACTATTGCATTGAAATGCTTGTTAGCTAAGTGCTTTGTGTGCGTGGTGGTCCAGGAAAGCTAAACCAACAGGGAAAGTTGGATAAAGATGTTTGCTGAATTGACTTGAAGAAGGCTTGCTGTTTATTCCCAAGAATGTTCCCTTGCTGCGTTGCAGTTGCCTCTCTAAAGTCTGCTGGAATAGTATATTTACCAATAAACTTGCAGCTAGAGAATGAGGCTGAACTCATAGCCTCTTCAAATAAACCCTCAGAGCTTTCCCTTCCTTCATCCAAAACTGCAGCCTTGGCATCTGGTGCTTCTTCAAGCCTGACAAGCCAGGCTTAGAGTAAGCACACACAGTAAGTTAATGTGAGCATGTGGGTGACCTTTGCTGTAATTCACATGGATTGGATCCTGCATTGCAGCCTATGCAGGTGACTGGTTTGCAGCAGCTGTCAGAAGAACCCCTGATTTTTCTCAGTTCCAATACAAAGGTAATGGCTTTTACTATGGAACTTAGGCATTGGCACATGTTGCCTGGGGAGGTGGGGATGCCGTGACCTTGGGGACTTTTGAAGTCAGGCTGGATGGGGCTCTGATCACCCAATGGAACTGTGGGTGTCCTTGTGCACTGCAGGGGACTTGGACTAGATGACCTTTAACGGTCCCTTCCTATTCAGTTCAGGGATCTGATGCGGGGACGACGGCTTTTACTGTGGGACCCTGTGCTGGAATTTTGGTTTAGGTTTATTGTTGTAAGCATTGCCCAGCTAGTTGGCTTTCAGCTTCTACATCTCTTGAGAGAAGCAGTCGTACAGGCCAACCTTCCCTTGCTTTCTGACATCTAAAGTGTTCTACCCTCAGGATTTGTGCTGGAGTATCTGAGGTAAACTTGTTGAAGTTCTGCTGAATGCAGACTGAGCTGACAAAGGGAATCGATCATTCCTTGCACGTCTGTAGTGGTTTTGACAACTTAGGGGTTATGCACTGGGAGTCAGATACTCTTAATGCACTGGTGCCTGCTGACAGTGCTATAACCTGGGAGCGCTGGAAGCCTGGAAGTGGGCTGGGAGCTTTAGGAAGGACTGCTTTCACCAACCTGGCTCGGAAGGAGCAGCGCTTTCGGCCCTAACCCAAAACACGAACTGCTCATATTAACCCGACAGGCAATTGTTTTATTAAAGCTGATGTGCTGAATGGGACTCTTTTTAATGATATTCTTTACCTGTCTCATTGTGTTAAAGTGGGGAAAGGACGAGGGGGGGGGGGTGAGGAGCACACAGCCCGAGGAGGGCGAGTGGTGGCAGGTGGGACTGAGCACCAGGAGCAGCTCTGCGCGTTGAGCCGCCCGGCTTAGCCCGTGTAGACCGCATAACAAGAAAGAGTTGCTAAGAACAAATCTCTATTGTTCGCTGTCATCTTTAAATGAGTGTCAAAGTAGGCAGGGGGGCTTTGACCGTTAACCGCACAATTTAGCCTGCCCGTTGTGTCCAGCAGCCCCCACCTCCTTGGAGTTTCTCAGATTAGAAAAGAAGGCCTCAGTCCCTTATAAATGGGCCAACTCTTCTCCTTTGTGTGCAGACTGCCCAGTGTGAAATCTGCAGTGACGTTAAATGTTTTCTAATGAATAATTACTGAAAGGAAATGGAGGAATATATGTGTAATGGATTGTAGCGCATTAAAATGTTTTATTTTGCGCACAAAAATGTTGTCCTTCACAAGCACCACGATTGTTTCAGAGAGCCTTTTGTGGGGGCTTGATTCTCAATGGATTATCTGTGAGCTCTTACATTTCCAATAGAAATCAAAAGGGTCCTTTGGCAAACTAATGTTTTTCAAAATGGCAGCCATGAAGCCCATTTAGTATTTAAAGTTTGGGTTTTAAAGAAATGTTTGAACTCTAGAGATTTTCTCACTTTTTTCTTTCTTTTGATTTATGAAAGTGAAGTAGTTCACCTCGACCTCTCTTCTATTGAGAAAGACAGACAGTCACCCTTTAACAAGTCTATAGTGGGCTATTCCCTGGATACAGACAAGAGGCCTTAAGAATTGTTGGCGTTTCCCTAGGCTGTTGATTAACCTTAAAACCCTCTTATTCTGTATTCTTTTGAAAAAAAATTAGGTTACAATGTGTAAATTTTTCCACAGTATAATTGTATTTATGAATTCTGCTGCCTTGGGACATCCCGAGCTACTGTATGTGCTTCTCAAGTGCAGCCTTACAGACCCAAGACATACCTTCTTTGGCACTGCTGCTGTGTTCCCAAGTACAGCTGGTGTGCAGGGCTTTGGTTTCTGTAAAAATGTGGTAGAGGTTTCCAGGGATGTAGAGGCTGGTCTAACTGAAATACCTTTTAAAAAAAAAATAAAAAAATTAAAAATCTTTTTGATGCTGCAGTCATACAGATGTAGCATGGTTACTTGGTGTGGATCTGATCTGCTTCTTTGGTTTTTATGTGCGCTTCAAGTTTATTTGAAAATTACTCTGAACAGATTAATTCTTATGAGCCACACCAGAGCATCTACAGCAGGAGGGAAGTATTTCCCTGGACTTGCCATTATTCTGGTGCAGTAATGCATTGCCCCAAAACTTATTGCCAAGCATGCAGCAGTACCGTCTCCGTGATGACTGCAGAATCTGGTTGCCACTCAGGGAGGGCAGGAAGGGGTCCAGGCTGCTCCCAGAGCAGCTGCGCGCAGCCCTTCCACTATCAATGGCATGCTGTGAACCTGGCCTTGGGGTTGCTGCTGGGTTTGAGGGAAGATGTAGCACTGCTGGTGCCCATCTTTGCTCTCCTGCTGACTTGGCCATGTAAGAAACAGCCTCTGTTTCCAGCTGTGCTGACTCTAAGGACATCTTTCTTAGCCCTTTCTATACGGTCAAGTTCTGTTACTGCCTTTCTGGACAGTCTCTTTGGAGAACCTTTAGCAGAGCAGAGCCCAAGGAGTTTCCTCAGTGTAACCCTTGCAGTGCCTCCATCCTATTTTGGCAAGCCTTAATGAGCAAATTCCTGTTGAGCACGAGGGGTGCAGGACCGGGTCAAGGAGCGCTGCCTGTTGCAGTCAATGACTATTTCCAAAACAGAGCTTTGACGTTCCTAAAGGAATCTGTTAGCGGTGCTGCTCCAAGCTCATCTGTCTTCAGCAGGCCTGAGACTCACTTCTATTTTACACCACATGGCTCCAGAGATGCCTGCTTTCTGTGCTGCATTCCTGTGGCATGAACTTCATTTGCTTGAATCTCAACAGGGTAACAATAGAAGAACAAGTTGGGTATCACAATGGATTCCTTAGGATGCCAGCTGGAGACAGGGCTGAACAAATAGACTGAGCTTGCCTTAGGGTTGCTGTGTCCAGAGTTAAATAAGGCTCTGGCTGTCAGTGGGGGTGGGAAGCCTTATTGCAGAGATCGTAACGCAAGTGTGCTCTTGTCAGTAAGAATTATCTGACCCTGTTAGCAAAAACTGATCGATTCTGTTGGGAAACAGATGTTAAACAGGTGGTTTTCCATTTCTCTATTAGAAATACAAATTAGTGGGTGTTAAAATTTTAAGTCTTTTGAGTGTTCTTGTTACAATCTAGCTGAGGGCAAATTGAAAATGTTTTTGTCCTACTCATCTCCTCAGATCTTACTGTTCACCATTTTTCCTCAATGACTCTGAGCCACAAGGTAAAATCACAGAATTGTAGGGGTTGGAAGGGACCTCCAGAGATCATCGAGTCCAACCCCCCTGCCAAAGCAGGTTCCCTACACCAAAATATTTAACTCCTCGATGTTGCTGTAAGACCAAGCACAGCTATTTTGTGGTCAACTTTTGTCTTGCCCTGAGCTCTTTCTGAAGGACATCTCTGTTACTCGGAGAGGTTAGAATTGGTGTGAAACTTTTAAACATAAAGCTCATAAAGGGTTTGAGCATCACCTAGAGTGTGTGGTTGAACAGAAGTGAGAGGATGCTTGCTCGTGGGTCGCTGGCTGCCCAAGTAGAGGGGTTTCATTCTGTTGGCTGCTTACGCAGAGAAGTAGCCATGGGAAAATAGTCTGTTGCTGCTGACTTTTGGGTGGGTGGAAGGGGAGGAAAGGAAGGTCTGGCATTGTCTGGGAGCCAGCAGTGACCGTAGTGCAGGCTGTAGCCATTTTGGGGTAGTGGGTCAGGGAGAACCCGCCTATTGCAGGGGAAAACCAGGGGAAACTTTGAGTGCGAATTAAAATGGGTTTCGCAGTGACCTCTAGTGGGGAGCGAAACTGAGAGCTGCTGGAAGGGATGAGCCCGTTCAGGAGCGGTGTTTTGTACCTGGGTTTGCTCAAATGGTGCATCAGGAGGGTTAGAGCCTATTTCTTTGCCTTCAAACTCCAACTTCATCCTTGGGATGATATTTTACAGCACCTTTTAATGAGTCCTTAAGCATAAACCTCATCGTAGATCGACTGTTGACCGCGTGTTAGATAATTCATTAAACAGCAAGGATGTTACGATCCCTGCCTGAGGAGGAAGGCACACAAACAGGACACACGATACGTGGTGTCAGCGGGCCTTCCCTCTAGCCCTGTTAACTCTTCATGGAAGAAGCACGTTTTGGAGAAGGAGTTGGCAGGAGATGGCACATCTGCTTGGGTGACAGGTAAAGCACGGAGGAAAGAGGCTTCTGAATGCGTAGTGTGGTGCTAAAGGAATCCAACATCTCATTGGGTTGGGATGGTTTGGGGGAGAGCAGAAGAGCCCCAAGGAGATTTCTGCTGTTGTAGGGGAGGTGGGTTCTTACGGATGGATCCAATAGATCTGGAGTTTGGTGGCATGTGTGGCATTTTGGTAACGGTCTGGGTGCTCACCTCTTTGAGTGGGTATGAGGTTATGTGAAAGATGCTCTGGGACATATGGTGCCCACCTGAGGCTCCCGACTCTGTTTGCATGGGGGATGTGTGGCATGGTTTGTTTCTGCAGAGCTTCCAAAATAGCGTTCTAACTGTTCCTCTCCTTCCCCATCTCTTCAGTTCAATTGCATTAAATCAAAGGAACAGCAACATTAACTTAGCAGCCTGTTGAAATGGAGTTCTGAGCCTTTAGCAAAGATGAGTAATAATCTTCCAAAGTTTACTTGATTTTTTTTTTTTTTTTTTAATTTAATTTTTAATAACTGTTGCTTGCCAGGACTTGTTTCTGTGTTACAAACTTTGCCTAACACATTGCCCTGTTGCTCCTGACCTTGTTTTAGCCCCTGCTCAAGCCACAAGTCTCATGAAATTGTTTTGATCCAGTTTAGCTCCTCGTGGTTTTTAGTGTCTATAGACAAATCCCTTTGGGAAAAATGAAGCCCTCACTGTAACCAGGGATAGGTTTTCTGGTAGAGCTTGTGTCTCAGCAGGCAAGGAAGAAATCTCCTGGTGCTTATAGTTAAGTGATGAGGAAAGGAAAACAATCCTTTTTAAAAAGAGCAGTCGACAGCACCGTGCTGGGGTAATGTGTACTGCTGATGAGCCCTGCAGGGTATCTGTTACTGAGGATGACACCAGGTAAGGACGAAACTCCCAGGAGTGGGGCTGGGGCGGGAGGCGGTAAGCTGTGCTGTGATCATAAAATTGCTAGACCTCAGTGATAGCAAAATGCTCAAAATCCGAGCACAAAGCAGCCCAGAAAAGAGCGTGGGATTTTTTTGTCTGCCAGAGAACAGAGGGTCACTTAGCAATTAACATACGAGTGAAAGAATTAGGTTAAGGAAACCTGATCAGCTAGATGGCTGCTGTGGTTTCAGCCTTCCTCTTTCAGGTCTCCAGGCTTGGAAAGGAGGTAAAATTCTCTTGCTCAGGTTGTCCTGAGTGCAGGCTCAGAACAAACCCACCCGAAGTGCCAGCAAGCATTGTTTAGGGACATCTCTCTGCCAAAGTGATAAACTCTGACCTGGTCAGACAGCTCTGTGCTGTGGCCAAATCAGAGTGGAAAAATGAGCATCAGCTGTTGAGGGCAAAAATAAAGGAAAGCAAGGTGATGAATTCCTTGTATGAAGTTAGCATAGTATGACTTCATAAAGTGAGTTAGGATTCAAATAGCATGTTGTCAGAACATCTTTCTCTGTGGTATTTTGGTACTGTTGCTGCTGAGCATAAATTTGCAAAGCTCAGACCATTATTTAAGTAACATATAGGTGAGTGTTAAATTCTGCACTAAAAAATGGAACATATTAAAATCTCTGTTTAAGAGCTCTCTGACTTTTGGTCAGCATATTATGAGCTTGGGCTTTAGCTCTTTATTTTTGTGAAATTATGCATCTAAACCTGCCAGCTTTCAGTGTTTGATGTGCTGTCATCCTCCAGTGAAGCTATGCAGGCTTGCAAAAGCCAACCTCCAAAGTCAGGGCTTGCCAAAACTTAGCAGAAACATTTTACACCGTGCCTTCTCTCCTAACGCATGTTCAAACCCTGACACACTCACCTCTTGAGCACTGGAGCAGCAAGATGTAAAAACTCCAGTGTCTTGAGGGCAGTGTGGGAATAGCAAACGTGCTGGGCTTGTGTGCACGTCTCTGCAAAGCCCAGCAGTGCTAAAAGGTAAGTTGCTCAAAACGTTAATTTCTATCGTAAGGAAAGTATTTCAGCAGGAACTATTCTATGAAATGTGTAATCCCCAGGTCTTTATAGTTAATAATATCCTATGGTGTGTTTATTTCTATAGAATAAAAAAATATCTTGCTTGCTAACATGAAATTATCAGTTTGTTTTAATTAAGAAACAATAAGTGTGTGGTTAATTTGTATAGCCCTTGAAACAAGAGCTCGATCCTCAGCAATATTTTCAATATAAGGTCAAATTAATTATAAACAATTGAAAGTGGAGTGTGCAAAGGAGTTATGTTCTGTCAGTGATGTCCTTTCTGCCTATTTCTGCCTTTTGAGAAGCAGGTTGGGCGGCTAGTAAAGGTTTAGTGGGTTTTATTCCAAATCTCTGCTTAATCAGTTTTATCACATCAATGGACGGGCTTTTCATGTTGCAGATTTCTTGCTGGTGTGTGGAGACATCTGCTGCCCGTATTTGAGAGCTGCTTATGGAAGGCATTGGTAGTAACTTAGTGGTCTTGCTCCGGGTAGTATTGTAGCACTGGAATTGGTGGTTAGAGGTCAAGGCAGATGAACGTCAGAGGATTCTCGGTTCTGATGGGTGTATCTGTGGGAAATTCTAACCTGTGTATGGTAGTCGCTGGTGGCATAGAAACCAAAAGTGTGTCTGGTGCATTCCACTGACAGCTGCAGACCTTGCAATTACTTTGTCTAGGTGGAGTTAATGATGTTTTCCAGGTCTCACTCAGATCTTTGGAGCTGGGTTTCAAACCACTGTTCCCATGGTGAAAGCTGCTGGAAGCTTTGGGTTTCCTCTCTGATCGTAATGAGTCTTAAAATTCTTGATTGTAAAGAACTCCATGGGTGCTCACTGATGTGAAACACCTTGGGGAAGGTGTTAACAACACATTGACATTACCTGTACTGGGTTGATCTGGCCCTGAGGTACGGGGAGGTTTTGACTCTCTCCTAAGCCTATACCATGCAACCCTTGTGTTTAGAAGGAAGAGGTGGAAGATAACACTGACATCATCATGGAGGGGGCTCTGATAGCCCGGGACAGAGTTGGGGTGCAGGACTTTGTGCTTCTGGACTCCCACACCAGTGAGGCTGCTTTCCTGAACAACCTCCGCAAGCGATACCAAGAGAACCTCATCTATGTAAGTGCCTGCTTGTGTGAGTGCTGCTGAGAGTGCTGTTCCAACTTTGGTTTCACTGAGCATTGAGACAGTAAGCCTTGATTGATGTAGCTGGTACCCAGCAGGGTGCTCACCCAGTAGAATATCAAAACATAGTAATTATGTATGCTGTAAGGCTTCATGTTTGTTTTATGGTTCCACTCCATTCTTACAGGGTTGATTTTGAATGTTTAGTGTTGGCTTTTGGCTTGGAAATGAGGAATTCTGGTTTCTTTTGGTTTTGTTTGTTCTTCTCACAAGTTCTGTGCCATCTTTTCCCAAAATGTTGTGATATACATGACTCTTCCTCAAGAAGCTCTCTCTGTGGTGATGGTACTGATTTCCCACATCTATGCATTTTTCTCCTTGCAGACATACATTGGCACTCTTCTTGTATCTGTCAACCCTTACAAAGAGCTGGATATCTACACAGTGACCCAGATGCAGCTTTACCGAGGGGTGAACTTCTTTGAACTGCCACCTCATCTGTAAGTAGAATCCTTAAGACTTCAGCTGATACGAGTATATGGGATGTTGTCCCTGGTGCTGTGTATGAGCTACAAGGATGTGTATCCAGAGTTGCAAGTCTGGTGAACGTTTTATATTCCCATCTTTCTGTAGGTAAGGTTGTATTTGTCTTCTAGCTGGCTATGAAAATGAAAGAGAACAGAAGGGCTGAGAAATAGTGGTGGGGGACTACAGAGGAAGAAAGTCTGAGATAGTCTTGCAGGCAGTTGCAGGACTAGCTCAGTACTCATGCACAGCTCTGCTTGGGCTTCAGACAGGGAGGGAATTGAAAATTCAGGATTCTGAGTTGAAGTTATTTTGGTGTTTGGAAACTTTCAGGTGATTTGAGGGGTTGAGGTTGATAGGTTTTGTTTTTGTTTTCCTTGTTTTTCTTCCATAGGTGGCATATTTGACAAGGACTCCATTATTATCTTTTTATATATTTCTATAAGCAGGAGTTGGATTTTTTTGCTCCACTGGAATAAAAACTGGCTCCTCTGACCTGGAAGGAGTCAATAGTGTATATAAGTAACATTCATCATAAACATACCCAGCCCATTCAAATCCTATTTTGACAGTGGAAAAAGAATGAGCTTTGTCTACCTCTCAGAGGCTGAGAGACCACGGGTAGCAGACTGGCGTTTTGAGCTCTGCTTTCCCATCACGTCCAGTGCCTGAGATGTTAGCTGGGGAGTACACCCCATTTCTAATGGATGTTTCCCCTCTGAATCCTTCTTGTGACTCTTGTTCAGATATGCCATAGCTGACAATGCCTACCGGGTGATGTGCAGTGAGTACAACAACCATTTCATCCTCATCTCTGGGGAGAGCGGAGCTGGGAAGACAGAGGCTTCCAAGAAGATCTTGCAGTACTATGCAGTCACCTGTCCGACTACAGAGCAGCTGCAGGTCGTCCGTGATCGTCTGCTGCTGTCAAACCCTGTTCTGGAGGTAAAAACTGGATGAATGTAATGTAGAAAAGCTGCTGATGGCCTCCTTTCATGAGAATTTCCTGTCTGCACACTTGCACCCAGGAATGGACCCTTGTTTTTATGGTTTGCACACATAAGTAATAGTGTAAATTAGGCCTCTTGGTAGCATAAGCACTTAACGTTTCTAAACATTAAGTGGTATTAAACTTGTTTTTATGCAGGAGGATAGCTGGAACTGGGAGCATGGGGAAACTGTACAGCATACAACAGATCCTTATGATGCTGTTTACAGTCATGCTAGAAAGAGGCATAATTTGTCTAGCTGAGGTCCATATTAAAGCTACAAAATATATTAGTTTGTGTTTGCTTAATTCCTGTAAATTTTGTAATAGGACTTGACTGCAGCAAACCTTTGTCCTGTTACATCAAGTTCTCTGTAAGTGACTTGATGTATCTATTTTATCCATAGGCTTTTGGAAACGCAAAAACTCTGCGGAATGACAACTCGAGTAGATTTGGGAAATACATGGACATCCAATTTGACTTCAAGGTGAGAACAAACTTAATGAGCCGCTGTTCAAACAAGCTCCGTCAGTGAGCCTCTTGGACGCATACCAGGCAGCACAGGATTTATTAGTTCTTACTGACACTGCAGATTTCTGACCTTATTTCTAGAGGTCGTGCATTCTGTGAGTGAGGTGACTAGTTATACATCCCGAAAGCTTCCTACATTACTCAGAACGCTGCCAGTACTTGATAGGATTTCAATATATGTAGTTGCAAAGGGTGACTTGCACTAGAGGACAGGAAACTCTTCAGATATATCTGAAATTGCTGGTGGATACTATCCCAGAAATCGAAGAAGACAACAGGAAAGAAACAGTGCATTTCCTGCATCTCCTGGTGTTGCTGCTTGCTCCTGTGTTGGATGAACAGCCGTCTTGATTCTGGTGTTGGTCTAACTGCTTCATTTTGCTAGGGAGCTCCAGTGGGAGGGCACATCCTCAGTTACCTGATCGAGAAATCCCGAGTTGTCCATCAAAACCACGGAGAGAGGAATTTCCACATCTTCTACCAATTATTAGAGGGTGGAGAGAAGGATCTTCTCTGCTGGCTTGGGCTGGAGCGCAACCCTCAGAAGTATGCTTATCTCATCCAGGTCAGTGAGAATTTGACCATCTCTCTATTTTATGTCTGGAATTGTAGGGATCTTTTGTTACCATAAAAACAGAAGATGGCTGCAAGCCTGTGCTGTTCACAACACTCTGCCATTTGGTGGTAATTGCTATCCAAGTGCCATGTTTCAAGTAATTGTTGCTGAAAGGGCTGATCAAATGAGTTGGTTTCAGGTTTAGGAGTTTAATAACCTTCCTGGAGAGCTGCAGGCTGCATCTATGCAAGCTGAGGAAATGAAGTATTATGGCCAGGCTGCGTTTGTTCTTGATAAAATCACTTCACTACTGAAATTTAGTAATTCTTTCTCCTAGGGTCGATGTGCCAAAGTCTTTTCTATTAACGACAAGAACGACTGGAAAATAGTCCGCAAAGCTTTTTCTATCATTGACTTCACTGAAAAAGATTTGGAGGTATGGAAGTCAAAAGTCCATCCAGTTGATGGAAAGTGTCTTGGTTGGAAGATGTGTCTAAGGATTGAGATGTGTTTATGAGCATGTGCAGAACATTGGCACTGCTCCATGGAGATGTAGGAATTTGTTTTCTAACAGTGTATCTCCCATTATTAGCATCTTTTTGGAATAGTTGCTAGTGTCCTGCACATTGGGAACATTCAGTTTGAAGAAGATAGCAATGGACATGCCATCATTCGCAACGGCACTCAGATCAAGTGGATTTCAAAGGTATCTCTCACCTCTTAGACCATATCAGCAAAACAAATAGTATAAAGAAAGCCTGAACTTTCTTTGGGTCTGTTCGCAGAAGTGGAATGATAGCAAGAACTGGGTGTTTGTATGGCTATAAGCAACCTCAGACTGTAGGCGATGTGCCCTAGTGATCACACGGTAGTGTTTAAGCAGCTTCCTGCTGCCCATACTGAGAGCAGGGTTTGTTTCTCTGCAGCTCCTGGGTGTCCACTTGTCCATTCTGCAGGAAGCCCTCACCCATCGGAAGATTGAAGCCCGCTCTGAAGAGGTACTGAGCAGCTGGAAGCAGTGCAGGGACAGATGAGGAGCTGTGCTCACAGTGCTGTTTCAACTGAAACAGATTAATTTGGCTGTCCTTGTCATCCATATTACCTTGCCCTTCTAGCCTGAGACTTTAATAGAGCGACTATTTCAGTTTTGAATATTCTGGCTGAATGAACTGGTAATTACTAGAAAGCCAGGAACAGGGACTTGCAAGCAGCCATGAGTTTGAGCCAAACAATTTCCATTTGTTTAGTTCCTGGAGTGCTTCTTGGGAAACCAGACAGCATAAATAGAGAAAAGCACTGTGTAAACTGTTCTTTGAGCAGTTTGTACTAAGTTTGATAAAATGAAACTAAAAGAAGTGAGGAAAGGCACTCCCAGTTCATCAGGATGTTTAGTACTTTCCAAAGCGTAGTATTGCAATCCTGCTGATGTGGCACCAGGCTGAAATAATAATGGGAGAGGAAGCTGTAGGTAGAGTTGCTGGTTCTCTGTGCCTGAAGTATGAACTAGTTTTGCAGAAGTTTGCTGTGCTGAAGTGTGTTCTTCATTGCATCTGGTATATTTTTATTTTTAGGTCTTAAGCCCATTGAATGTCGATCTGGCATTCTATGCTCGGGATGCTGTAGCGAAGGCAATTTATGGACGGACTTTCACTTGGCTGGTCAACAAAATCAATGGCTCCTTAGCCAATAAGGTTGGTTCCTTGTCTGATGTCCTCTTGGAGCTCCTCCAGTAAGGCCCAACTGCACATGTGAGCAAATACCCCATGCTCAGCAGTGTAGGATCGTCCCACAGCTCTGAGTTGAAAAACTTCAATGCTAGGAAAGAAGTGTGGAAGTTGGTCTGTTAAGTACTTCTTGTACTGAGTTTCCTGCTTCCGTGTGTCCACTCACAGTGGTGATGGGTTTGTGGTTGGACTTGATGACCTTAGAGGTCATTTCCAACCTTAATTGTGCTCTGATTTACTCTTTTGGCATCTCGAAGTAGAAGTTTAAAAAAGAAGAAAGAAACACAAAACTGTGTAGGGAAGAAACTTTAGCTGAAGCAAGAGTTACAAGTTGTGTCTTTAACAGGATTCAACTCGTAAGACTGTCATTGGCCTGCTGGATATCTATGGCTTTGAAGTGCTGGACACAAACAGGTAACAGCAGTTTCTGAGAACGGGGGGCAATCTGTCCTTGTGGCAGTGGGAGTGTGTGCTGAATCCTACAGGACTTTTTGAACATAGTCTTGTCCCAGCAAATCAAGAAAGGTGGCTGCAAATGCTCTGGGTTAGCTCAGTAAGTAAACAAAAAATGTTGTTGCTTTTTAATAAAAATTCTGAGGCTTAATCTATAGAGAACTGGTCTGTTTGACTGGAAAACAGTAGGAGGAGGTGGGAGAAGTAGAACTGTGTCCATGAATTGATTAAACAATATTTCTCATTTAACAACTCTGAAGCTTTGAGCAGTTCTGTATTAATTACTGCAATGAGAAACTCCAGCAACTGTTGATTGAGATGACCTTAAAGGCAGAGCAGGAGGAGTACGAAATGGAAGGAATAGAGGTAATTCATTATTCTCCACGCTTTTGTTTCTTTGAACAGCCACTGCACACATTGCTTTTCTTCATTAATGAAGAAGGCATCTTGCCTGTCTCAATTGCAGTGTTTCCCTGGGCCATGTGGAAAGCTATACTTTGAGTATATGCATGGTTTCATTTTAAATCCCATGTAAGCTTATTCTGCTTCAGTATACTTTGTATTCTTTCTACCAAGGAGATCATTCCCAAATCTGTAGAGTTCATTTTTGCATTGCTCCTGTGAGAGGTGTAAGATAGCCAAGGATCTCATTCTGTAACCCTTTTGAAATTTAATTTGGCCTAGACTTAATTCACATCTCTGGAAGGGGAAGAACATTCCCCTGTCTCTTCTTTCTCCTCTTATTTCCAGTGGGAACCAATTCCGTATTTTAACAACAAGATCATCTGTGACTTGGTTGAGCAGAAGCATAAAGGAATAATTTCCATTCTGGTTTGTACTACTTAAATTATCATGCTTGCCTGTGCTCTGCTGTAGTGGTTCATAATCAGTTCCAATTATCTGGTGGTTCTGTGTTATTCAGGATCTGAACAAATAGACCTTGTAAACAAAGACTGATTCATCCAGATAAAAAATCCTGTAAGTCTGTCTGGATTTTGGGTCTAGTTATGTCATCTTTTTGTTTAAACGGGCTATAAACAGTAAAGGATGAGTCAGGGCATTGCCAAATCTGAAAGAAAATGGCAGATCTGATTTACCTTGATTTATTCTGTTAGTTCTACTGAAATCAGATAAACAGAACTCCATGTTTAACCAGGAAACTGCTTACATTGGGCAGACCTCGTTCAATTGTAACCAAATTCTTTAGTTTTGCTGAACAATGTGGTGCTAAATGTTTCTGAGGAGGGAATTGTCTGTTCAGAGCATCCTTCTGCCTGGTGCCTGCTCTTTCAGGATGAAGAGTGCTTACGGCCTGGTGAAGCAACTGACTTGAGCTTCTTGGAAAAGCTGGAAGAGAAAGTAGGAGACCATGCCCACTTCGTGACGTATGCATTTATGCTTTGCATCCTACCACAAAGGAAACTTTCCCATCTTTTACCCATAACAGAGCAGAAGTTGGACTCAATAATTCTTACGGGTCTCTTCCAACTCAGGGTGTTCTGTGGTTCTGTGAGTACTGGGGGAGGAAAAAGTTTTGCTCTGTACCAGAGAAAATCAAGCAGCCTGTCTGTTGTCTACCACTGTAATGCTCCAGTAATGTCTGGAGGTATTACATAGGTTGCACTGGGGAGCCTTGCTTCATTCTGCATTTGTGTTTTGCAGAAAGAAAGAAAAAAAGAAAGAAAAGGGGCTGCCTTTGAAAATATTGGATTGCTTTGTCCCCTGCTGACCAGGGGAAGCTGTAGGTATCGTGAAGAGGAGCCTAAAAACCCCGAGCTGTATGGTGGATGTAGATTTATTTTCAAGAGTCCATTTGGATATATATGTGAGCTTTAGATCTGAAGAGGAAAGGAAGACACCTTTGTTTGCATCCCCCAAACGATCAGTACTGCAGCCAGGACTCGGTTTGTGTTATTTGCAGATCCTGTTCTGCTGGCGTTGGTGGTGGAGTTGGTGTGAGGCTGTTCTGGCAGTTCCCAGCAGAGCCCTACTGAAAGGCTTCTGCTCATCATCAGTTCAGAGTCACGCTGCTGAACTGTCACTTTCTATGTTTCTGGACCATCAAAGCTGAGTGGAAAATCTGTAGCCAACTTCCTCATTGCTGCAGTGTGCCTTAAAACTGCTCTGTGTGATTAGAAGTGTTAAATGGAAACATTAGCACTACTTAAATAGGAGACATACATGGCAATGCTCTTGGAACAAAACTTTTGGTGTACTGATGTGCTGCTGTGACACAGCTCTGTGCTACTAGAGATTGCTTGCAAAGCTGAGATTTGTACTGTGAAGTTGCTCTTTTTCTTCCCAGTCCTTACTTTCTAATATCTCCTGCTGATGTTTACAACTGTGATTCTTCCTTATTTCTATTCTTGTCCCTAGGGTACAGTTTCTCAAACGATGCTTTTCCTCTGGTTTTGGTTTGAAGTTGAGGAAAGGTGTGATCTTCTTAGCATGTAGGCTATGAGAATGTATTTAAATGAATGTTATAGGGAGAAGCCATCTTCCAGGCAGAGTGATCATTGCCAAATGGCAACGGATGCTTTGCAGATGGTTTGAGGAGTTTGTGGTCAATGACTCCCATTCCCTAGCACTAAACTTGCTGTAAGCTGCTCAGAAAGGAGAGGCAGTTCTTTTGATTATGGGCCATAACTGTATAATCAGAGCCACACTGATAGGAACAGACACTTGATAGACTTCCAGCTGTCACACAGCTGCTTTTTGCACAGGTGTCTTTCTACAGGCTGAAGAAATCCGCTGTTTTCTCTTGGTATTTTTTGCTTTTTGTCTTTTTTTCTTACCTCCCCGTAGTCGCAAGCTTGCAGATCAGAAAACACGAAAATCCATTGACTGGGTGGATTTCCGCCTCCTTCACTACGCAGGGGAAGTCACATACTGTGCAGTCGGTGAGTGTGACCAAGGAGCTGCTCTGCATGTTCCTTGCACACCTGTGCCCATGTGGCAGATGGAGTGTGGGCACTGACTCCACACGAGGGTGCTATCCGTGTGCTGGGCCCTTGGGGTGGCACCCAGCTGCTTCCCAGCAAAGCCAATGCTTGCCCACGTGTGCTATGAGCCTTCTAATGGATCAAAGCCTTCTTTCTCTTCAGGATTTCTGGAAAAGAACAATGATCTCCTGTACAGAAACCTGAAAGAGGTAAGAGCAATAGAAGAGAGTGCTCTTCCCTTAAGCATCTTGCTACAAGTGATGTTTTGCAGAAGCTGTATTTAATCTCAGTAGCAATCAGAAATGTATGTTTCTCCTTAGCATTTGACATTCCTCTGAAACCTGTCCTCCATTGGGATTGAGATCAGTGCAAAGGCTGTTATTGGACAGATACAGCAGCTTCGTGCTGGAGCCATAGGTGTCCTGCTGACCTGAACTTGGGAAATCAGGCTGCTTCTGGCCGTAACTTTGTACATCAGTCTTCAGTGCAGAGCTGTCCAAGCAGGCAGCTGATTTCTGGCTCCAGAGCTGTGCATGTGAAGGGGTCTCTTCTAGGTTTAGCTTCTAGCACTGGAGGCTGTTGCTTGAATCTGTGCTGTGTGTCCTTACAGCACCCTAGGAAGGCATGTATGCTAAATATGACAGTTTCTCACTGACTGTGTTTCAGGTGCTGTGCAACTCTAAAAATGGAATCATTAGAGACTGCTTTTTACTGTCAGAACTGGACAGCAGGAGGAGGCCAGAGACTGTGAGTGTAATGTTCAGTCTAAACTTTTAAGGTTGGTTTAACTTCCCAAGTTTGCATTTCCCTGTTTTTGCTCCTGAATTCAGTGCATTTGTTTTATTTTTGAGGCTTTTTTTTTTTTTTTTTTAGCTTTCTTGTAGGGGAACAGAGATGTTGCTGAGACAGCAGCAAGCAATGTGGCATAGCTTGCTGTTGTTATTAATGCATCATTCTAAAATGAGCTCTGAGCACAGCATCCAGCAGCCTCCGGTGTCTGAAGGGCTACCTTGCGTGTCCAGATGTATGGCAGAGACTCAAATTCTCCAGCTAAGCACTCTGTCCAGTTAGCTCATGATTAACTATGTTTCTGAATTGTGCTAGTGCGTATGTCAGCCTTTCTCTTGGCTGTAAGAGGAGCGCAGTGAATGAGTTGACTTGGATCCTGCAGTGCTTGAGTTTCAAAGCTGAGAAGTCTTTCTCTCAATGTCATCTTAGGTTGCAACCCAGTTCAAAAACAGCCTAATGAGTCTGATAGAAATCCTGATGTCCAAGGAGCCTTCTTACATCCGGTGCATTAAACCAAATGAGAACAAGGAGCCTGGTAAGGCATTAGGCTCAGTGCACTGTTGAAGTAATGGAATGAGGAGGTGCAGGGTAATTTCTTCCATATATCTCCCAGTATATTGACACGTGAGTGGGCTTTCACGTACAGCATTTATCAGTGAATGTGTGTTTACTGCAGGGAAGTTTGATGATTGCCTGATCCGGCACCAGGTGAAATACCTGGGGCTGATGGAGCACCTGCGTGTGAGACGGGCTGGCTTTGCGTATCGGCGCAAGTATGAGCACTTCTTGCAAAGGTGAGCAGAGCTGTTTTCCTGTACAGCCAGAATCTGCCTTCCCATGGAGCTTCAGAGCAAGATTTATTTAGATGTCTGGTCCTGGTTCTAAGGTGCAGAGGCACTGGGCTTTTCCTCTGCACCAAACATAACGTTCATAGGTGGTTTTGATCTGTATCCATGTCGGTCTACTTTGAATGAAGAATAGGAACTGGGGGCTGCTCAGGGAGAAATGCCTCAACATCAATTCACTTCTAGTGATGTCCTGATGGTCTTTCAGATACAAATCCCTGTGTCCTGCTACCTGGCCACACTGGCATGGGCCTGCAGCTGAAGGTGTGGAGAGGCTTATCAAGCACATAGGTTATAAGCCTGAGGAATACAAACTGGGAAGGTAAACTTCTCTCTCTAGTTCTTAACTCTGTTGGTTGGCTGCACAGTGCTTGCCATTCTGATTGTTCTGTCTGTGACCATAAGCCCAGAGAGCTGCAAGATGTGGCAGTGTAAAACAGGTCCCTTAATTTGTTCTTTGCCTAGCCACAGCAGGCAAAATTGGGCAGAGCTACCTGGGTTCTGCAAGCCTGAGGGTATCTACTTAATGACCTTAAAACAGGGCAAAGTAAACTCACCCTGAAGGTATGGGGCAAGGAGTCCCAGATGTGTGCATCTCCACTTGCTTTTCACACTCTTGTGTTTCTATGGGGCTTGAGTCCAGCATAGTTTCTTTCTCCTCTGGGTTAGGAGGAATGGGTTCCTTTGGCTCAGCACCAAACCTGCTAGTCCAAGACAATGTGGGCTCACTGTGAATAACCTGTTCCTGCTCTCTTTTTTCAGAACCAAAATATTCATTCGTTTCCCAAAGACTCTGTTTGCTACTGAAGATGCATTTGAAATAAGAAAGCACCTGCTAGGTATGGTTCCAGTTCCATTTATCACATAGACAGAAAAGCAGAGGCTGAGTGGGCAATGTCTGTGGGCTCCAGATGCACAGAGATGAGAGCTGAGACTCCTGGTCCTGAGTGTTACCCAATTGCAGCTGCTTGAATCTCCATGCTGAAGGATGTTCTATGCAGGCTACCTTTGTTCCTGCTTTGTTAGTCCTTTGTACCTGGTTGTGCAGGACTTCCTGTGTCTGATCACTGAAGTTAGGAGCTGTGCCTTCAATCTGAGGGATCTTGTTAGGTATAAGCATGTCGCTGCTTCTTTGCCAGTTTCAAGACTACAAGCCAAATATAAAGGACGCCTCGGGAAGAGAGACTACCAGAAGAAGAGAAAAGCAGGTATGGGCTGTGGAATCAAGAGTTGTCTTCTTAGGGTTGTTTTCTGGTAGGAGTTGTAGCCTTGAAGTCATGAATCTATTTTCTTGTGGGTAGAAATTTTTGCTGCTGTGGGTGTTAGGTTCACTAATGGCCTCAGGTTGCTCCAGGAGAGGTTCAGGTTGGATATTAGGAACAATTCCTTCCCCAAAGAGCAGTCAGGCACTGGCTGCCCCGGGATGTGGTGGGGTCATTCTCCCTAGAGGTGTTCAGGAAACGTGGAGCTGTGGCACTGAGGTATATGGTTAATGGGCATGGGGTGGGGATCTTGGAGGTCTCCTCCAATCTTAATATTCTACAGTTCTGTAAAGATCAGCTGAAGGGAAGAGACAGGTATAATTCCTGCCTGCAATGAATTTGGAGGACGGGATGGCACAGGATCTCTGTCTAATACATGACTCTTGCAGCTATCAAGCTGGAGGCTTGTTGGCGAGGAGTGCTGGCACGGAAGGAGGCCAAGAAGAGGACCTGGGCTGTTGAGATCATCAGGAAGTAACTATCCCCATGGGGAGGGCTGCAGGTGGTGGGTCACAGCGTGACTGTGGCTCCTGGGCAGGGAAACCAAGGCACCTTCATGCCTGTTGCTAAACTGTTCCTACTATTAGCCCGTTATGTATCTCTTGTGATGGCTGCCTTGCACTTCCACTGATTGTAACGTGGAAGTCCTGATGTGGGTATTTTCTGTAGATTCATAAAGGGTTTCATCAATCGGAAGAAACCTCTGTGCCCAGAGAACATTGAGTTTGTGCGGCTTGTGCAGTACAAATACCTCATGAAGCTCAGAGACCACATCCCCAGAAACGTCTTGGACAAGAGCTGGCTCCAACCTCCTTCTATCCTGGAAGAGGTGAGGTTTGCTGCAGGCCCCTCATCGTGCACTGACCTTGTTCAGGTTGTAAAGCTACTCAGATGACCACATTGCCTTTTTGATCTTTCTATTGCTTTTTTTTTTTGTGATGTAGATATCTGAGATGCTACAGAAAATGTGCATTAGGAACCTAGTACGGAAATACTGCCAAGGCCTCACTCCTGAGAGGAAAGTGCAGGTAGCTAATGCATGGGATGCAAATGTGCAAGTTGGAAGTTGCTGCACACATGTGATGCATGTAAATTGCCCCCATTGCAAGCTGTTCCTTCTGACAGCCACTGCTCCTGCTGAGCAAATGCTTCTGAGCCTGGGATTGTAATGTACAGGGCAATTCTACAGATGCATAGGTCTAAATCTTGTGATGTTAAATCTGAACGCCATCTAAGTGGAACAGATCCATAACAAGAGTGTCTTCTAGGCTGTTCAGTCCTTATTACATCATTACTTAGTATAATTCAGGAACAAACCAACGAAGAAATGTAGCTTTCATTTGCCCCAAGTTGCACGAGTGAGAGGACGATGCTGTCCACAGCTTACACTACACTCTGTAACTGTTGCTGCTCATGGAGAAACTGAGAGGATAAAGGGTGTTCCTTCTCTTAACAGTTACAGCAGAAAGCTGTCACGAGTGCCATTTTCAGAGGAAAGAAGGAGGGCTACCAGCAGAGCATAAACCTGCCCTTTGCGGACACACGGCTGAGTGAGTACATGTGCTGGGAACCCACCATCCAATTCCTTTGGCCCATTGTGTTTGGTGGCTGCTGGCAATCAGTGCCCCAGGCCATGCCTCAGGCTGGGGTACTCGAAATCCCTTTTTAAGCTAGAAACTTAGGCAAAAAAGGCTGGGACTGATGGGGATACGTGTGTACAGTTCTGAATGGAGCAGAGCTGATTGCTGCAGTGCAGCGTGGGGATCCAGCCTCAAAGTCTGGAGCTGCTGGGGGAGGAGATGTGAGCCTGGGGGATCTGTTCAGTTGGTGCAAAACATCACTGAAATAGACTTAAGAGCGGTTTCTAAACCATCAGTTTAAAAGAGTGATCTAACGAGACAAGGATTAATGGGATTGAGGCAATGAATGCATCTGTTTGGTGTTCCCAAGACTGGTGGATCAGCAGTCTGCCACCTACATTCACAATGTCTTTCTGGTTTGATCCACAGAAGAGACGGATATAAACCCCAAAGTTCTGCAGCTCATACAGGGTGAGAAGGTGAAGGTAAGGAAAGAAAGCTGGAGCTCAGCAGCTGTGTCCACATCCCAGGCCCTGCAGCCCCATGTAATGCCACAGAGGGAGGTGCTGATCCGAGCTCCTTGTTCACAGTATGCAGCTCCTGTGGTCAAATACGACAGGAATGGTTTCAAAGCACGGGAGCGCCTGCTGGTTCTGACCCAGTCCTCGGCGTATGTGGTGGAAATGGCCAAGATCAAGCAGAAAATAGACTATGCCACTTTGAAAGGTAACAGTGCAAATCCAAATGGGGCTGCTTCTGAGGCTCGGTCTGTCCAGGGCGCTGCAAAAAGAATGCTTGAAGCAGTGCCCTCTCTGAGAACGCTTTTTGCTGCAGAACAGCCAGAACAGCTGTGTGTCAGTGTGCTGTTTTTCTGCAGGTATTTCTACCAGTAATCTGGGTGATGGGATCGTGGTCATCCATGTTCCTGAGGACAACAAACAAAAGGTAGAGAGATGAAATATCACTGGTTATTTGTGGTTAGAAACAATGATGCTTCTCCTATTTCCTTTAAAATACTCAGATATATGATTATCAGGGTTTATTAACTCATGGTCATCTCTACTTTTGAATTCTTGTTGTTTTACCATGAAAGCATTCTCTTTTCAGAGCCAAAGTTGCTACAAATCCTAAATAGGCTCTGGAATGGATGTTTAACTAGTCAGAGTTGTAGGTGGCCATTGCTCTGCAGCCAGGGCTGTGCAGAAAGGACTCCTCTGAACACACGACTGCTGGCTGGGTTACATGTGGGTATGCTGCCCACTGACCTTGTGCCCCTCTTTTTGCTTCCAGGGAGATGTGATACTTCAGTGTGAACATATCTTTGAGACGGTCACTAAGCTCTGCATGCTGGCCAACAAGCAGAACCTCGTTAAAGTCGTGAAGGGAAGGTAAGGAAGACAGTCAGCATGACCTGCTATGTTTGTTTTCTGCTGCTGTGACCTGGGCCTGAGGTTGTGGGCTCAGCATCCTCCCAGCAGATCCCATTAGTGCTGGCTCTGTCCAAGGACAGCCTGTGGGGCTGAGCTGGGGGTCACTTTAGGATAAATGCTTCTCCCTGAACTCAGAAGGCCTCCAATTGTGATGGCTGAGTGCAGGAGCCTCCTCGGCCACACCAGCTAAAAGCAGGTGGATGCAGTCCATCTCTCAGATCTATACAGAAATTGGAACTGGCGTATGAAATCTGCACTTCTGTTCCAGCTTTTCTCTCTGGCCTTTGCGTTTCAATTGTAATTGGATTCTTTCTGTTCAGTGGTCTTCTCCAGGTCAGATCTGCTTATCTTCTAATGCTTTATTGCTCCAGGAAAATTCAGGTGCCCAGACTAGGCAGGCATGCTGCGTTCATCAAACCCTCTTGGGCTGTATGGTATAATGCAGTTGTTTAGGAAATTTACCTAAGCTGAAGGGCTCTGATCTTCTAATCTAACAAGATTTGCTAAGGGAACAGAAATAAAGTGGGCTTAGAGTAAAGCCTATTGTGAGGAAAGCACTGCAGAAGTAATTGTCTGTGTTTGCAGCCTTCGGTTTCGCATTGGCTCTGGGAAGGAAGGGACAATGGTGTTCACTGTTGGGCCGGAGCCCCATGTCTTTAAAGCCAAAGATGGACAGCTTACAGTGGTAAGGCCTCATCAGGGCACTGAGAGTATGGCTTTGGCTTTTCCCTCTGATGCTCACCCCTTATGAGAAACACAGTTAAGTCTTGGAAGAGAGTTGTCTTTGTGAAGCAGTTGTGAAATAGGAATCTCAAGGACACGCAGTTTGTGTTTAACTTACTGACTCCTTTCTCTCATTCCAGGTGTCAAACCAGGCAAAGTCTTGATGAGAAACAGTTCCAGTTTCTGGTCATCAGAAATGGAAAGGAGCCTGCAGGCTGTGACCAGCACCTGCAGCACCCCTGCAATCTTTGATGCCATAGGGTTGCTGTGACTTGAGAGTTTGCTTGCATCTTTTAGGTACTTTTTTTTTATAGCTTAAAACTACTGAGCTGTATCTAAATAAATTCATCACCTTGCTGTAATGTTCCAGGATGCATAGATCCTTGTTACATGCTGTCACAGGGTATTGTTTAGGTAGCTGCACAAGTAAAATGTCAATCTGTGCACCTAATAACCTGTAGCAGAGCTCTGAAGGAAGGATTCAAAAGGAAAAGAGTTCTCCAGGCTGTGTTTTGAGTCACTGTACTAACCATGAGAAACCATATGAAGTGCAGGTGAATGGAGTTGAGTCTCTCAAGCAGCATGCAGAGGTATGTTTGTAAATGTAGCAGTGAGGTTGGCACAGGTATTCCTGAGTTGGTGCATCATCTGGAAATCCCAGGAAGATCCTTCCTTGTCTCCAGGCACAGGGGAAGGAAAACGTCTTAAAGTAGTACTGTCCTTGCTTCTCCCTGCAAAGCAGCTATGCAGTGCAGTGAGGCTCCACAAGTGGTGATGAACAGGACAGGTGACCACACTTTTCTTTTAAGAGGGGACATGCAGATTTGGTGTAATTTGGTTCAGAGGAAACCTTCAGCAGCAAGAGACTGAAGCTTCGTCTCCCTTTGAGGAGCTGCAATTCTGCTCGCTCCTTAGGAATGCAGTTCCCTCTAGCTGCATATTTTGGCAGCTATGAAGAGGTAGAATGCAGGAATTCCCTTTTGCTCTCTCTGGTGCCTCATGTTGAGGCCAACCTGTGTAGCTCCTGCTTGACTGAGGCTGCAGCCTGAATGAGAGCCAGATCACTGGTGCCTTGGCTGTGAGTGGTTCCAGGAGGTAAAGCTGATAGCTAGGGGAAGGTGTGTGGTATTTCTTACTGAAAGTTCTTTCTAGCTCCAGGGACCATGAGGACAGCGTGTTAGCTACTGAACTTCAAGCAAGTAATAAATCAACTCATGTAAATATGAAATATCTTCTAATTTATTTCATGTTATGCTTTAAAAACAAACAAACAAAAAAAAAAAACAACAAAACATTGCAAACAACAACCATACACTGAAATCCATCTTAAGGTTTTTTTGTGTGCATAAAATAGGAGGGAATGATTGTACAGAACACGAAACAAAACAACTCCATTAAGACTAAAAGGTAAGACTGGAGCGTGGAGACTTCCACAAGGGCTCTGAACAGGTGATGTCCTGCAGCAGGCAGAGCTCAGTGTGGGCTCTACAATCTGCCTTGTCTGAATACAGGAGTGACTGCTTTGCAGAAGCAAATGCATTCCCAGCTTAGCCCTGAGCCAGGGGCTGGTGTTACTGGACTGTTTGGCCCTAACTGCATCACAAGCTACTGATTTTTAGGTAAGCTTTTCTACATTACTCCAATGGAGGGGTTGGAAATAGCCTGCAGGCGTAAGATTTCAGTTGGCTCTGTTCTGCTTCAGCATTAGTGGCTGTTGTTGGGTGCTGCAGGGCAGCATGCATGAATCAAAGCAGGCAGGTGAGCACAGTTAACATCATGCAGCACTAGCTAATCTAAAGAACTGCTTGGGGCCAGGGTAGCTGCCTCGTACCCCATCTCCCTCTGAAAGCTCTATTGGCAAAACCATTTAAAGTAAAAGGCTCGGGAGCTGAGAGCATTTGTGCAATGGCATTAAGTGGCTGTGGGAGATGTTCTTGTTTTACTGAGACTTAATGAACAAGGGCAAGCAGCCAGTAGGTAAGGGATGTTCTAACAGCAGACGGTGGTACATCTTTGTTACACAACTGCAGCAATGAAAGTTAGGAGTGTGTTACAGATCAGAAACTTGTAAACAGCTCAGTCGTGTCAAAGTACACAGTGCCAAAGAGAGCACACGCCCCAGCTTATCACATAAGGCAAGAAGGGAGAGGCACTGTGTCCTGCACACCAACAGCCTAAACTATGGACTTGTATGAACCCAAAGTGTGTTGCACTGGTGACAAACGTGTGTAAGTACAGCTTAGAAGAAAAGCTGAAGCTGCTGAACTGCAGTGTAACCACTGTGTCTGGGTACTACTCAGTTCTTACTCATCAGTCAGGAGCTGAAGAAAAAGTAGAGGAGACAGGGACAACCACCACTGCCACAGCCCCTGTCTGAAACTTGAAGTCTTTGGTTACGAGGAAGACAACTTCAGCCTAACTCTGAAAGCTGTTAGTTGTACACACTGCTGTAAAACTGCTTACTGCTTTATTTTACATCCCAGATAGCTGAGCTGCAGAGGTTGCTACTGAAACAAATCAGTAACGCAGCTGGTGATGTTGACTGTGCCTTTGGTTTTTGAAATGCCAGTGTGCCACAATCGGCCCTGAGCCAGGACTAGGAATCCTTACAGCAGGAAACCTGCAGCAGCGAAGGACCTCACTGAGTGATGCAGAGCTGCCACTGTGGGACACCCAGCCATTGGGGCCAGCAAAAAGTACTCCAGGTGAAGAGTCAACAAGGTCTGAAACAGCCAAAGTACTCTGGAGTCTGGCACAGTGGCACCTGACTGAAGTTTAAGACTTCCTACTGCTGGTTTCTCTCTCTCAAGCTTTTTTACATTAACCATTACAGCTGCAGCTCTTCTCATTCTCCATTAGCATCCAATCCTAGTGAATAATACGCTCTCTTCTGCCACTCTGATACTTGACTCCACACTAGGCAACGCGAGACTAGGAGGTAGATAAAAACATCCATTCATTACTACTCTCAGAAAACCAGACACTACAGCATTCTCTGCACAACATTTCAGCTTCATCCTTTCATATACAGCTGCCATTTCTGCCGAGAGACTTGGAAAATGCTCAGGTTAAAGGCAAACAGGGATTAACCTCTTCTGGGCCTTCAGCTCTATACCAGCACTCTGTACTGCCCTCTCTCAAAGCCAATGCTCCTGTAATAGCTGCAGAACTGAGCTACAGCTGCTGGCCTCCTGCCTACACAGGGCTGGCACTGCGTGTCAAACCTGTTACAAATTTTAACTTGTGGTAAAGAATGCATGGCTTATGGATGGGTGAACTGAGGGAAATAAACTTCCCAACAGCGATGTGGGGTCAGGCTTTGACTGGTAGCAATACCACCCTAAGGGAAAGCCACCAGGCACAGTTAGCTCCTGCTCCTTCTCTTGAAGGAATTTCAACATCTCCCATCCTTGAATCATACCAAAAAAGTGGGGATGGGCCTCTCCACAACTCAGTGCTGGAGAAGCTCCACTGAACCATGGAAGGGGGGCCTGAGAGCAGTGGGAAGCCACAGCCACCTGCACAGTCTGGCAGCACTGGGTTCCCTCTGCCTCAAGCTTCTCCTGCTACCACCTGTCCTGCCAGCAGTCACACTGAGGCACTCCTGAGCTACCAACATTATCACCTGACCTGGAAGGAAGGGAGCTCTGCAGCAGCTCCACTGTGCTTCTGCCATGCTGCAATGCCTAGGAGACTGGGGCAGTGAGAGCCAGGAGGGAAGGCATGTGGCTGCCTGACTTCTGTTGTTTCATTTGTTTTTTAAAGTGCAGGATAATTACTAAAGCCAAAGGAAGCCAGTCTTCTTCCTCACTAACCACAAAATAGCAAAGACAAGAGGGCTACAAACTCAGGGCATTTCTCCAGCTGTTCAGAGGGCTTTTTACATACCTACCATACGCCCAGTAACCTTATTTATTCTCATCCTAGAACTACCTCGTTTAAATACCCCAAATAACCTACTGTGTTACAAAACGTAATTTACAGACTCGTTGAACAAAGAGAAGCTGCCTGGTCCCCTGCTGCAGACAATCCATCAGGAGAAGGGCAGCACCTTCCAGACAGACCCCTGCAGCCGCCGCTCGGCTCACTGGTGCAGATGGGCTCTGTCATCCGGACGCTTGATGTGGATCCTCCGCACGCGTTCGATGCGCTCTCGCTCCTCATCTTCCTCCAGGTGATGGGAGCGGCCAGCTGCCCCTCCTGTGGCTTCCAGGAGCGCGTTGTCGGGTCCCCTGCCGTCCTGGGACTCGTACAGCAGAATGTTCAGTGTCTCCTCATAAATGCGAGCTTCTGGGAACTCCACCTGCCCACCGAGAGAGAAGGCCGCTCTTACCTGCTGCAGGCACCTCGCTTCTCCTCCTGAAACTTCCCTGTTTTTAAACATGTCTTAGCTGTACTCCACCCACACAAACCCATCCTAGCACCAACGTTTCGCCTTCAGCCTTTTAGTCCCAGCTGGCAGTTTTTTCAGAACTGGCCAAACGTCTCTGCAGGGAGGTATGCCACTGCCTTTACACAGGAATGGACAACAAACGTGATTAAGTGCACAAGTTTGTCTGAAGATAAGAACTGGACTGAACTTGCATTATGTAACACCATAATTGCCCTGTGTTAAGCGCTGCATCCAGTCAGTCCCTGCCCCAGCAAACCCACAGGATGAGCTCCACTACGCTGCTCTCCCATTCTGAATGGCGTTGATTATTCTATAGAGATGCTAGACAATGAAAAGTGTGTTCAGAACGGAACAGATGTCAGGGTGCCAGCCTGAAAGCAGTGGCGCCCCGCTGCTGTTTACTGTACCTTTGTCTGTTTTTTCTCAGTAGCATAAACAATGGAAGTGCAACAGACTTCAGCAATCTTCCGTCCCTGCCCGTAGAAAGACCAGCAGCAGATCTCGTCTCCAATCACATCCTTTATAAAGAGCACTCTCCCATTAAACCTCAAGGACAGCTTATCAAATAGCTCAATGTTTTTCAGCATGTTGTCGTCAGAGTTGCTGTGAGAGACAGAGAAGGCAGCGGTCGCATCAGGGTAATTAAAATAGTAATGCAGAGCAGAAGGATTCAGGCAGTGAGCATTTGCAGGCCCACAAGCCCAGCTTCTTTTGATTTACTGCACATCAACAGCACTGAGTAACGCTCGGGCAAAATGGATGTCAAAGGCCATTTCATCCTCACAGACACATGAAACCCTTCCTGACTTCAAGCTCAGCACCAGCTGGATGAAGACAGTGTTTTGTCATGAAACTTAAACACAGGCATAAGGAATGGCAGACAAGGTCCCAGACTTCATGATTTTACCACTTACTGACAATGCTATGGCAGGCTTTCTGTATTCAGCCAAAGTGCTGCAGCCCACGGGGAGCACAGGCCAGCAGTTGGCCAAGAGTCTCTACCAGCTGCACCTGGGTGTTAGAGGAACCCCCATCACAGAAATAGCACATGCTCAACCTTCTGTGGATGCCAGTAGGCCCTCCTGACTCAAGTTTGAAACTAATT